GGCGGGGAGTCTGCTTCTCCCTCTGACCCTTCCCCCTCTCATGCTCTCTCTCTCTGTCTCATTCTCTCTCAAATAAATAAATAAAATCTTTAAAAAAAAAAAAAAAAGAAACAGGTGCAAAAGAAATTCAATTGAGAAAGAGTAATTTTTTTCAAAAGCTATACTAAAACAATTAAACTTCCACATAATACTGGATCAACTGAATTCCCATATGAAAAAGAAAATGAATCATGACCCCTAACTCACACCATTCATAAAAATTTATTTCCAGATAGACTGCAATGGCAAAACAATAAAGCCCATAGACGATTACATATGAGAATATCTTCTTGACTTACAGTAGGCAAAGTTTTTTTTAACAGAACAGAAAAATCTCTATCCATAAAGGAATAAAATAATTAACTGTAATTTATCAAAATTACTTCTAAATATCAAAAATATTTAATATAATTAGAGAAGATGTTTTTAATATCCACCACTAACAAAAGACTCATATCTAGAACACACAAAAAGGGCGCCTGGGTGGCTCAGTTGGTTAAGCGACTGCCTTCGGCTCAGGTCATGATCCTGGAGTCCCGGGATCGAGTCCCGCATCGGGCTCCCTGCTCGGTAGGGAGTCTGCTTCTCCCTCTGACCCTCCTCCCCCTCATGCTCTCTGTCTCTCAGTCTCTCTGTCTCAAATAAATTAAAAAAAAAAAAATAGAACACACAAAAAGTCATCAGAGAAATAAAAATTAAAACTACAGTGGAAAACTACTACATACACTTGAATCAAAAACACTGACTCTTGCTAACAGCAAGTTAGTAAGAATGCAGAGCAACTGGAATTCTTATACATTACTAATTAGAGTGTTAACTAGAAAATCTACTTCAGAAAACTGTTTGGTAAAATCTATTAAAGCTGAATGTATGACCTTATGACCTAGTGATTTCATCCTAAGTATAACCAGCAGGAAAGTCTACATTCAGGCACCAAAAGTAATGCACAAATATGTACACAGCCGCACTGTTCCTTAAGGCCAAAACCTGTAAAAACTCAACTGTCCATCAATCTAACATGAATAAATAAATTATGATCTATTTATCAATGAATTGAATGAACTACTACATGTTGCGATCTCACAAACACAACGTTGAACAAAAGAAGCCAGACTCAGGAGATATACTATACAGATCCTACTTATGTAAAGTTCAAACGAGGCAAAAAACTAACCTATGTAATAACCTAGGATAATTGTTACCATTGAGGTAAAGAAGTGATGACTGTTTGGAGGCACAAGGGGTGCTTCTAGGATTCTGCTAAGTTTCTCTTTCTTTTTTTTTCTTTTTTTTTTTTTAAAGATTTTATTTATTGGGCGCCTGGGTGGCTCAGTTGGTTAAGCGACTGCCTTCGGCTCAGGTCATGATCCTGGAGTCCCTGGATCGAGTCCCGCATCGGGCTCCCTGCTCGGCAGGGAGCCTGCTTCTCCCTCTCCCGCTCCCCCTGCTTGTGTTCCCTCTCTCACTGTGTCTCTGTCAAATAAATAAATAAAATCTTAAAAAAATAAAATAAATAAAATAAAAATTAAAAAAAAAAAGATTTTATTTATTTATTTGATAGAGACACAGTGAGAGAGGGAACACAAGCAGGGGGAGCGGGAGAGGGAGAAGCAGGCTCCCTGCCGAGCAGGGAGCCCGATGGTGGGGCTCAATCCCAGGACCCTGGGATCATGACCCGAGCCGAAGGCAGACGCTTAACGACTGAGCCACCCAGGCGCCCCTCTGCTAAGTTTCTCTTTCTTGATCTGAGTGAAGGTTACATTGTGCGTTTACAATGTGAAATTGTATTGTGTTGTTCACAATAATGTATGCACTTTCCTGTATTTCTTATTCTCTGTAAACAATTAAAAAACCTTAAATATAACCAACTGTGTGACTTAGAAGCAATGTCTATACATTGCAGGGGTACAGTACAGTCTATACGAGGGTAGCATACATACCAAAGGCAAAACATGTAGTCCGAACATTATAAGCAATTCTCAGCTAATTCCCAGCTGATTGTTATGTAACTATTCTAAAACTAAATAAAATACTGGGTTTAATACTTGGCCATTGTATAGATGTAAGTATAGGAGTAAGCTGTAAGATCATGAGTGAAAAATAAATCATCACTATGTAGGCCACCTTTGCTGGATTTCTACGGTTCTACCCACAGATGACCTTTCCTTTCACCATTTTTTCTTAATACTATTCATGTCCTTATCTTCCATAGGCAAATTCTTTAGGTAATCAAATGCCCACATTATTTATCACTTCAGGTCTCTAACTAAAGCCACTAAAGTCAGTAAAACAATAAAACAGAATCCTGTTGTAATGCTACATAAGTTACAGTCTCTCGTAGAAGAAGAAATTTTCTAAATTAGTCTCAAATTCTTCTTGAAAATAAGTCAATAAATACACAAAAATATCTTCTACCTCCAATATTTTTTCACTTTCCCAAATACTTTAAACTTATTATTTGCTCTTCATTCGTCCTTTATAGTATGCCACTGGGCAAAGCCCTTAAAAAAAAGAGCAGGAAACTAAAATATGTTTCTAGTATCAAAGAGTTGCTTGAATCAGAATTCATTCTCCTGATACGTCAGCTCCACCACTGAGCTAAAATTCCTTCCAAGTTTTTCAGAACAGTGCTCTCACTGTTACTATCTCTGCTGTCCATAGGATAAGCATTGGCCATTCCCCAAATTCCAGAACCATTTGCCATTTCACTGCCTTCCTCCCACACTCAAGTGGCAAGAGTTCAATTTGGCAGTTTGTCAAAAAGAATCAGAGTATAAAGCACTTGGTGATTTTTAACCAAATGTTGTTGTGTATACAGCATACGCCATATATATCACATAATATGATTTCACACATTATAATAGAACACAGTGAAGGATATACTACATAATCCTAGAATCCAAATGTACTTCTCTTTGAGACCTTCTCTTTAAAATAATTTTCTTTTATTGAGCCAAAAGCCATTAACTTACTTTTTTTTAAAGACATACTATTTCATGACAACTTACGCTATTACTGTTCCCTAAGAATGACCAATGTCTTATATATTTTATTATTAGGTGTTTTATAAAAACTATGTTGTCAAATAGATCACATTATGTGACAAAAACAATACCAGAATAGTGTTCATATTCCTCACCAAAAGACTCAGCAAAGAAAGCATAAGAGATAATGTTATAAATGCAAAGATAAAATCATTATAAAATTTTATAATATACAGTGACAAAATGATACTCCAGTTTTTAAATTTATTTAACATTTACCAGGTGGTTATTATGTGTCAGGTATTGCTCTTCAAATAAGACCTGGTATTTGCCACTTCCAAGGAATTAAGAGTCTAGACTTACTGAACAAGTAAATTAATGTTTGGTGTATGAAGTAGTAAATCCTATGAAAGAGAGATGCTCAGGGTCTGTGGGGACACAGAAGAGGGACATCTAAATCAGCACTATGAGGTCAGTACACACTTCCTGGAAAAGACCTAGGTTAAGCTTTGCTGCAGTGAATAACTGGCTGAATGAGAGGGGTAATCCAGGTGAAGGGAGTAGCTGGTAACAGAAGTGCAGAGGCATAAGACAACATGGACCATTCAAGATACTTCAAGTTCTTGTTTGGAGGAAAGTTTGAGAGGGGGACAGAATTGGGAAATGAGAAGGGAGAGAATGGCAGAAGCCCAATTATGAAATGCTGAGAGAGCTAGGTTTAGAAGTCTGAACTTGATCCAGAAAGACTGTCCCTCTAATCCTTCAAAAACTACTAAAAAGGATTTTAAGCAGCGAAGTAAAATGAGTATATTTTCATCTTTAAAAGGTATATTTGGCTCTGGTATAAGGTAAGGCTAATGCAGTAATCCTGAATTCAGGAGGCAACATTAGTAATGGAGAACAGGGAAAGATCTGAGAGACAAAAGGAGACAGAATTTGTTAAACTTAGAGACTAATTGGAAGAGAGGGTGAAATGAGAATGAAGTCTAAACTGACTTGGTGATACCAGAACAGAGAGGACAGGACAAAGAGTGAGTCTAAGGTGGTAGGGAGCAAGGAGGAGTGATGAATTCATGTGAAATTATCTTGGGCATTATGTTTTCTTTATATTTTCTGAAGAGTCTCTATAAAATATAAATCATATATGAAATATATCACATATAAAAAATAACTCCTCTATATTTGACCTAAAGTTTATTGTAGCTAATATATTCATTTTAATTATTTAATTAGCAAACATTTCCTGATTTTCATGAAGTTATGTTGGGAAGAGAAATATCTGAATACCCCAAGTCTCTTTCACAAAACCAAAGAGGAATATTTAAGTTTTCTTAACCTCTCAAAATAGTTCCTTGAAGCAAGCTGATACATAAATAGGACAGTTCTTTTAAAAACAGACTGCAAATGAGACTTACATTCATTAGAAAACTGTTGAATTATCATAAGTAAATACAAAAATGTATACTTTCATTTTATAATATTAACATAGCAACAACATGGGTTATACATAGTTTATGCGAAGCATTTCTTTTTAAGTTTAGGAAATCTAAACCTCTAGAAAATCAAAAAATAAATGTATTCCTGAGTGGTCAGGTCTGTAATTTATTATCTCCAACTATTAACAAGGAACTTGATTATTTATGTATGGGAAAATACACCTTTAGCTTCATTAGTCATTTCTCATTATATCTATGACAGAACAGGATACACTTCTCTTTGCTTATTATGGATAAACTATGGCATGTGAGGGGAAGAAGGGGCCTGCAGGGACTGAACAACCGAAGGAAAGAACCAGGAATAGTACTCTGAGCCTTAGAGCTGTCTAATGAGCCACTCTGCCTCCCACAGCTAGCTCCTCAGAGCTCTACAAAAGACTAATAAACTCAAGTCAACAAAAACAAAACCCTCCAAATCTAATTCCATAACTAACACCCTAAGAACATACAGTTTGCTCCCGACCAGAATTAGAGTACTCACTTTCTTTGCGAACTTCCTCAAGTGCAGTAGTAAGCTCTTCCTTTAAAACTGTGGCTTCCTGGGCAATCTTCTCTCCCTTGTCTAATAAATTCCAAGTTGCTTCCTCCACAGAAGCTAGGAGGACTCTGGCTCTTTTTGAACGTCCTTTTTTCCTGTTGGAAGGATTCTGGGGACAATTTACAAGTGTAGTAACCTAAAATTGGAAAAATACAAGCCACTCATTAGACATATGAGAACATAGTCCTGGGACATCACAGCCCAGAACAAAAGGAAGTATTTCATAGTAACATGATTTATTCCCAGTACTATTGGTATGCCCTCATAAGTCAAGTCAAGGCACTAAGAATAATAGTATCAGCCACTATGGAATTTCCAACTAAAGATAAAAAGGAAAGAAGGAAGGAGGTAAGAAGGAAGAAAGGGAGGACAGGAAGAAAGAAGAGCCACAGAGGCTGAAACTTACCAAGTTTTATTATTGAAACAATGCAGTATATATATATTATATATATTTTAACGTATGTATAAATATCTATACATACTAATTATTTATATCACATTGTAGCCAGCAGTCTATATTAAGAGGGAGGCAAAATCAGCATAATTAGGTCAGTAAGTATTATTCTATTTAGGCTGAGTATAGAGATTATTAATGTGGAGGGGGTACAGAACCACACTAAAACATAAAACACTGGTTACCTCAGAGGGACAAAACCCAAATTATTACTATGACCTACCTATTGGTCCTTTGTAACCTCTCTTACCTGTCTCCTACACCCTCCCCTAACTCCTCAGGCCTCTGAAACAGGTCTTGTTCAAAATCTCCTATCAAGAGGACTTTCTTGACTACCCCATCCCCACCTTCTCTCACTATGTCCCCTCACCCCACTTTATATTTGCTCAAAACACTTACAGAACCTGATTTTTTTGTTTATACATTTATTTCATTTCCCCAATACTAAAATATAAACTCCATGAAAGCAGAAAATGTGGTTTTCTCTCCAGCACCCAGAACAACGCACAAAGTAGGTGTCCAATAAATATTTATTATATAAATGGCTTAACGAATGGGGTAGTTGAAAGGGACTTTTTTTTTTTAAGATTTTTATTTATTTATTTAACAGAGAGAGAGAGCACAAGTAGGCAGAGCGGCAGACAGAGGGAGAGGGAGAAGCAGGCTCTCCGCCGAGCAGGGAGCCCGATGTGGGGCTCGATCCCAGGACCCTGGGATCATGACCTGAGCCGGAGGCAGCCGCTTAATGACTGAGCCACCCAGGCGCCCCTGAAAGGGACTTTTTAATCTCTATATTTTGAATTGCCTGAATACGTTAATAATGAGCATTATTCCTTTTGTAAATTTGTTTAATATAAGAATAAACTAATGAGGGACGCCTGGGTAGCTCAGTCGGTTAAGCGTCTGCCTTCGGCTCAGGTCATGATCCCGAGTTCCTGGGACTGAGTCCCACATTGGGCTCCCTGCTTGGGGAGCCTGCTTGTCCCTCTCCGTCTTCCTCTGCCTGCCGCTCCCCCTGCTTGTGCGCACTCTCTCTCTGACAAATAAATAAATAAAATCTTTTTTTAAAAAAGAATAAACTAATGATAAACTAAAAACCTATTTAGAGATCAAAATTAAGCATCTGGGGCGCCTGGGTGGCTCAGTCAGTTGAGCGTCCATTCTTGATTTCGGCTCAGGTCATAATCTCAGGGTCATGAAGTTGAGCCCCATGTCGGGGTCCACGCTCAGCACGGAATCTGCTTGTCCATCTCTCCCTCTGCTCCTTCCCCCACTCACGCTCTCTCTCTCTCAAATAAACAAATAAATTAAAACCTTTTAAAAAAAAAAAAAGAAAGAAATTAAGCATCTGTATTTGGAAACTAAATCTCATACAAAATTACATTGTAAAAAATTTCCATTTCTTAATTAAACCTTGAATCCAAATAATAAATATGGTTAACATTTTTATAAGCAAAGCTGGAAGATCCCCACTGTAGAAGAAGAAAAAAAAAACTTGTATCCAGGGTTTAAAATGACAGACCTGAAACTCCTGTGGAAAGCTAGAATCCTACATATCCTCAGATAGCCAAGGCTTATAACAATCATATACCACATCCTTGACAATGTACTATACATAACCCTTCCTGCTCTGTAGCCCCTAGAGGTTTGGCTTGTTTATTGCTTATAAAGCACAACATATTTGTTTATTTGTATATCTGGACCCAGTTTTTTAACTAGGAACTGAGAAAGAACTTACAAGCTATGGGGGAAATATGTACATAAAAATCATTTTTGTCTGCCCTTTCAAATTCTCCTCCTCCATCCAAGAGACCCTTTGCTTTATTCCAATTTTCTTTATTCTCATGTTCACAACCCAGAGTGCAGTACCTTGTAGCAAGTCTTTGTTTCCTCTCTCGGAAAAGAACAATCATATTATCCTATAACTGTATGAAGGTTAAATATGTAAAATGTCTTGTAAAATGCACAACATGACACAAATATTGGTTGACATTTAATGTGCATTTTCTAGTCCATTCCCCACATGGATACAGAAAATCTGTTATGGGATCCTTGTCAGAGGTGTTCTCTTGGGCTACCCTCCTGTTGTTCTTGGGGCCCCCTGTGCTAAATGTGATGAAGGCAGTTAACAGAGCACTTTCTATATGTTTTGCAAACAGTCAAATAGAGCCGCGTGTCTTTATTATTATGTATTAAATAAAGATGATAATATGCCTGCCTTATTACATGGGTTTTCACATACTCCAAAAGGCAAATATCTCACTATTGTCCATCTAATTTATATATTCAGAGTTAAAAGATATTTGTTCAGATTAAGACAAATTATAGCACCTAGTTTAAAATCTTTGTTTAAAATGAAGAATAAGTATCATTGTCTAAATGTTCCTTCAGAATGTATTTTAAGTGCCACAATTCATGGTGCTTCCCACTGAACATTCCTCTATTATTGTTCAGATCTCCATGCGCCAAATGTTTCCCACAGAATAGCCTGAGCTTTGAAATTAAAATGAGCATTCCAGAAATGCTTTGTTCCTTATAACAAATGCCAAAGAAGAAATGTGAAAAGAACACTGTATAAGAACACTGTGCCTCCATCAAAATAAATGCAATTGCAACCTGCAAGTTATTCACATTTATAAATCATTTATACCTATGTCTTCTTCTGAAATACCCCAATATAGTTATTTGATATTGATTAAAGTCAAGTGACACTTTCAATGATTCACTTTATTTCAGAAAGTAAAGATGGCTTGGTAATCCTGTGGGGAAGAAAAGGAAACTAAACTTTTTTTTTTTTTTAACCCCAACTTACCTATAGGATCTAACCAACTCCCCTCAGTGACTGTGACTCAAGATAACAGATGACTCTCACCAAAGGTTGGGAGTGCATTTGTTATCTGAAAAAGTCTTCCATCTCTTGAAGGAATATCAGCAATCAGTAAAAAATAGCTTTCAGTTATTCTGTAAAATAATTCCTGTTCCCTCATTTTTTTTCAGTACAAAATCAGTTCTATTTTTATAAGCAACACAAAAACTTTAGTTGGAATTTATAGCAAAGATGATTCTAATGTAAGTCCTAGTCTATGTCTTGCTAACCTTTCTTTTTGTCACTCATGCACAACCCTCCCCTTTTTCTCTTTCTCAGTCCCTCTCATTTAGAAAATTTATGGCTCCTCCAGGCTCTTAAAGAGCCTGGCTTCACTCACTTTTCTTTAGTCTGTAAATCTGAGCTAGGCTACAGACACACCTTCACACGTACATACAGGAATGAGCTCCCTATTGAAATGGTCCTACATTAGATACTTCAAATAATATGAAAAGAAGAAATCACCTGCTTTATTAATTCTTCACATTTAAATTCCATAAAACCAGGTATATTTTTAATGTTGTGTAATATTTATATACTAAAATTTATAGTACAAAAAAAAACCTTTTCTAATCTTTCCTAATTCAGGTGCTCCTGATGCTACAAAGATACTAATAATTAAACTGATATGCTTAGTGAACCAAGCCATCAACTGTCATTATATAGAGCAACACTAGTGCACAATAGGAGCATTGCAGAATATGGCACGAGGTTTAATTTACTTGGATTTGTTGTATTAATACAACAATGGCTTTAGTACTTCAAATACTAGCTTTGTAGAAAGTCTTCTCTAAACGCCAAGTTGGGTTATTACATTTATATTCTATAATCATGTTCTTTCCCAATCTATTCTTTTAATTCTACTATCAGTGTAGTATAAAAAGGCCATGTTAATGCCATCTCTTCTCTTGTTGATTAGCTAAAACACTGAATTTTAACCTTCTCCAATAGCTCACAGGAAACTTCAGGGCTACTTTTGCTTCCTTGAGTTAATTTTTAATGTGTGAAATAAAATGTAAGACATTTAAGTCATATTAACTAGCTAAAAACTTCAGATTTCTGAAAGAAAGTAAAGGTAGAAAAATAAAACTGTCTATAGACAGCTGTCTACAGTAAAACCAGCGATCTTTTAAAGTAAAAGATATTCATCTACTCTTGGGAAAGGGAGGTCCCCTCTTCAAGTTATTGATAATTTCAACTGTTATTTACTTCCTACCAAAAACAACCTTCGTTGTGTTAACAAAAGTACTGTGGAAGACTGAAGTATTGAATCCAGCAAATGTATACCACTCAATTGACATTTAACACTCGCCTTAAACCAACTACAATCTTCTTTTAGATCATCTTAGGCCAATAAACTTATTGAGCACATGTTATGTTCAAAACAATACCCTGGACATTTAGAAAATGAAGATGAGTAAGCTCCAGTATGGTGATGAGAGATACACAACTAACTGCAATATAAAAAGCAGACTGGCTGGGTGATGGACATTGGGAAGGGTATGCACTATGGTGAGCGCTGTGAATTGTGTAAGACTGATGAATCACAGACCTGTACCCCTGAAACAAATAATACATTATATGTTAATTAAAAATTTTAAAAAAATAAAAAGCAGAATGATAACTGCTTAGACTTAGAAATACAAAGAAAGTGCTATAGAGATGGCAAACATTCACAAGCATTAAGTAGGGCTTCCAAGAAGAGTCTTTAAGAACAGTTTTCTACTAGAACAGATAGCAGGGAAAGAGAGCCAAGTGAAGAGAACCATGTGCAAAGGGGCGGAGATTGACATTATTTTTGTCTGAGTAGCAGATA